TTTCACGCTAACAAAGAGAGACGATACATTCTCGAGATTCTCTTCAATGGTCTTCGTCGTCTTGAATACAGAGGCTATGATTCAGCTGGAATCGCAATTGATGATTCTTCAACAATCTCTTCCCCTCCTCTTGTGTTTCGTCAAGCAGGAAACATTGAATCACTCGTTAATTCTGTAAACGAAGGTTACTTTTCTCTCTAGATCTCTGATTTGAATCCAAAGTGAATGATGAGTTTGTGTTTGTTTTCAATTTGCAGAGATTACGAATACAGATTTAAACTTAGATGAAGTTTTCTACTTTCATGCTGGAATTGCACATACTAGATGGGCTACACATGGTGAGCCAGCTCCAAGGAATAGTCATCCTCAATCTTCTGGTCCTGGAGATGATTTTTTGGTGGTTCATAATGGTGTTATCACTAATTATGAGGTTCGGTTCTTTAACTTCTCTTCTCTTATGTATAAAAGAGTCTTTTAAAAGAAATGAACTTATTTTGATTCTGTTTTTGTTGTTTAGGTGTTGAAAGAAACTTTAGTGAGGCATGGATTTACTTTTGATTCGGATACAGATACTGAGGTTATACCAAAGCTTGCTAAATTTGTTTTTGACAAAGCTAATGAAGAAGGTAACTAATAATGCTGATGTGAGATTTAAAAGTTAGTCTTGTTTTAATTTAGCTAGTATGCTCATATTTTCATGGGACACATCTGTGTGTAGGTGAACAGACTGTTCAATTTTGTGAAGTTGTCTTTCAAGTGATGAGGCATCTTGAAGGAGCTTATGCTCTTATATTTAAAAGCTGGCATTACCCGAACGAGTTGATTGCGTGCAAGCTTGGTAGCCCGTTGCTTTTAGGTGTTAAAGTAAGTAACTCTTTGTCACTAGAAGCAAGAGGGACGTTTCATTGTTCTCGGTTGAAATGTAGAATTTAGCATTTTCTCTTAGCTAGTCACTGTTTGCGTCTTTTAGCATGGAATAGTGTAGAGTTGCTTCAGATCATTACGTTGTTTTTTCGCCTGGCACAGGATCGAAATCTTTCGGGTTTGTATGCAACTGCGGTTATACCTTTACTTTTGCATGGTTTCGTAGGAGCTAGATCAAGGCAAGAGCAATAGTCATGTTTTTCAAGATGCTCACTTTCTTTCTAAGAATGACCATCCCAAGGAATTTTTCCTATCAAGTGATCCGCATGCTCTTGTTGAGCACACAAAGAAAGTTTTGGTGATTGAAGATGGCGAAGTTGTTCACCTCAAGGTACAACAATCATTCAATTATAATATTCTAATCAGTATGTGTTCATTCCCTACCAAATTTTAAGCATGAATTTTGAATTCTAGTGTGTGACTAACGAATCATATTGACTGATCACTGAGAATATGTGTAGCATTCACAAGTAGCAACTAAAACGTTTTATTAATATCCATTTGTTGTTAATATTGTCCAATTTGGAGTAATAATTGTTATTATAGAACTCATGCATATCCGTTAGCTATGTGCTCACCATTTCCACTTTTATTAACAGGATGGAGGTGTGACTATACTTAAGTCTGAAAACGAGAGGGGAAGGCGTAATGGTATATCGAGAATTGCTTCAGTGGAACGTGCATTATCTGTTTTAGAAATGGAGGTGGAGCAAATAAACAAGGGAAAATATGATCATTACATGCAAAAAGAAATCCACGAGCAGCCGGAATCTTTAACTACCACAATGAGAGGCCGACTTATACGCGGTGGTTCACGCAAAACAAAAACAGTCCTCCTAGGTGGGTTGAAAGATCACTTAAAGACCATAAGACGCAGCCGGCGTATAGTTTTTATTGGGTGTGGGACAAGTTACAACGCCGCTCTTGCATCAAGACCTATCCTTGAAGAACTCTCTGGTAATTGCTACTAAAACCATGGGTTGTCTTGATTTTGAATTGACTCTGCTAACTTGATTCTTTCCATAGGTATACCAGTCAGCATGGAGATTGCTAGTGATCTCTGGGACCGGCAAGGTCCAATATACAGAGAAGATACTGCGGTGTTTGTGAGTCAGTCTGGTGAAACCGCAGATACACTACTTGCTTTGGACTATGCTCGGGAAAACGGTGCATTATGTGTCGGCATAACTAACACCGTTGGGAGCTCGATAGCTAGAAAAACACACTGTGGTGTTCATATAAACGCAGGAGCTGAGATTGGTGTCGCAAGTACAAAGGTAGTTTTCATGAATCTCTTAATATATATACGTGTATACTTTTCCAGATTTGGAGATTACTTGTGCTTATCTCAAACACTATTAGGCATACACAAGTCAGATTGTGGTAATGGTTATGCTAGCTTTAGCAATTGGAAGTGACACAATCTCCAGCCAAAAGAGACGAGAAGCTATAATCGATGGACTACTTGATTTGCCGTGTAAGTTAAGTAAAATTAGCGAAAAAGTTGCTTGCTTCTTCTTAAGACTGTTTTTAAGCAACTTAGTGTATAATATCATATCTAACTGCAGATAAGGTTAAGGAAGTACTAAAGCTAGACGAGGAAATGAAAGATCTCGCACAACTTTTGATAGACGAGCAGTCACTGCTTGTGTTTGGCAGAGGATACAACTACGCAACAGCTTTAGAAGGAGCATTGAAAGTAAAAGAAGTAGCACTTATGCATAGTGAAGGAATACTAGCAGGAGAAATGAAACATGGACCTTTAGCTTTAGTTGATGAGAATCTTCCCATTGCTGTGATCGCCACTCGTGATGCTTGTTTCAGCAAACAACAGTCTGTGATTCAGCAACTTCACGCACGCAAAGGGAGATTAATAGTAATGCATGTGCTCAAAAGGTGATGCTGCATCAGTAAGCTCGAGTGGATCTTGTCGAGCAATCGAAGTACCTCAAGTTGAAGATTGTTTACAACCTGTTCTTAATATAGTACCATTACAGGTAACAAACTAATCTCTACATCAATCTATAATCTATGTGTCTTCTACAATTTTTTTGGTTTTCGACGCGTAAATAAGTTGTGATGTTTGGTTGCAGTTATTGGCTTATCATCTGACTGTTTTGAGAGGTCACAACGTTGATCAACCGAGGAATCTGGCGAAGAGTGTGACTACTCAATAGAGAGCTTAAAGGAATGATTAGCTTGTATAGTGTGACACATGCGTTTGGAGTTTTTGGAGTTTTATGTTAACCATCCTTTACTTTGCCACGCTTTTGAGTCTAAACACCAAAAACAATAGTTGTTCAACTTTTTTTTGTTTTTCTTTTTTCAAGTGATTAATTTTTGTTTCTAATCTATATATAATAGCAATCTAATAAATACCATTTGCACATCTGAACGGTTGCGTCTTTTTATCGCAACTTTTCGTTAATGTTTTCATTAATTAAAATATATATTTTACGGTTATGTTTTTTTTATAAATTGCATTATGAATGTTTTCTACGGTTGCGTGTTTTATTGTAACTCTTCATAAACAGTTGAAACCGCTTATTCGAATCATTGCAATATTTAGTTTATTTTACGAACAATTACAACCTTTGGTTTATATATTTAGTTTATTTCACGAACAATTACAATTTTTGGTTTATTTTATAAATAGCTATAACATTTAATTATCTACCGCCGCGTCTCTCGGTGTAACTTTTCATAAATTATTATTTTAATTCTTAATTTTTAATTACTAAAATGTATTTAAATGAGATTGTAACTATTTAATTGAACTGTTTCAACATTTGGATTATTTGACGAATTATTGCAACTTTTGGTTTTGTGTTACGAACCATTGTTATCTTTAGTATATTTGATGAACTATTGCAACATTTGGTATAATTGACGAACCGTTGCAGTTTTTGGAATATTTGATATCTACGGTTGCGTTTCTCGGATAAGTTCGTCATATTTTTAAAAAATATTTAAATACTAAAATATATTTTAAATGAATTGTTGTTACCGTTTAATTTAACACAATAGCATTTGGTTTATTTCACGTTGAACGTTTTGGCTTATTTATCAAACCATTGTAATATTTGGTTTATTAATTTATGCTTTTTGCACTTGGGAATAGTTTTTTAGTTACAAATTATTGTTTTTCTAATATTAATATACTTAATAAATGCTTGTGAGAGTTTTCTTTATCATAATTTTTGTAAAATATATATTGATTTGTTCTTTTAAAAATTCAAAATTATTACAATTCATTATGATTTTTTCGTTTGATATTTTTTTAAATGATTTTTGAAATATATTCCCCCGCCACATCGCGAGGGTCCTGAGTCCTAGTCTATATAGTAGTACTCATGGGCAAATTAATCGAACCGAAAGTATCAAACAAGAACTAACCGAAACGTAACCGAAATTTTAAAATATTCGAATGGATCATAAACTCTAAAACCGAAAAAACCGGAATGGATCTGGACTGAACCAAAATTAAATATTTTTGGGTATTTGAAAATATCTGAAATATAATTATATATCTAAAATTTAGTCACTTTTAGAATAAATTACCGAAAATATCCGCAATATAAAAAAATCCAAAAAAAATCTAAAAATATTCAAAATAGTCAAATATATCTGAAATATCTTAAATAAATATTTGAAAATATTCAAAAATATCCAAAAATAGTCAAAATACCATAAATACTCGAAAATACAAAAAATAATACTCGAATGGATCCTTCGGACCCAAAAGAAATACTCGAATGAATCATAAGCTCCAGAACTAAAAAAACTGGAATCGACCGATTTTCCTTCGGTTCCTATATGAACCCTAAAGCCAAGAACCAAAAGAACTAAAAACCGAAAGAATTGAACTGAACCAAACCGAATATCCGAGTGACTATAAGACCAAATCTAAACTTTAATATCGAACCGGCATTAACGAAAACATGTCTAAGGTGTTATGATCGCCAAATAATAGTTCTGTCTAATTTGTGAGAATACAATAAAGTAGGGGGTCATTTGCGAAACTTTTATAAATTACGACATATAAATAAGAGAAAGACTTTACAGTTTGTAATGTATCGCAAAAACCCTAGCAAGATGGGGCGGCTGAAATTGATTCCAGATGATGACGACGACTCACAGAAGAAAGGCTCCGATTGTTTCGAGGTCGATTTGGAGTACGGTGAGAGGTTACTGCACAATCAGAAGCGCAAGGATCTCCAGAAATACGATGAGCTGAAGGATAGAGGTATCATCAACGATGACGAAGGTTCCGAGTCAGAGGAGGAGGAATCAGATTCTGAGCCAGATGATGATTTAGGAGATCCAAAAAACGATGTCAAATTCATCGATGTTTTGCTTAAGGTAAAGAAAAAGGATCCTTTGATTAAGAACAAAGATGTTAACTTCTATGAGAGTGATGAAGAAGATGAGGCTAAGGAGAAGAAGGTGAAGAAGAAGAAGAAGAAGAAGATGTATTTGAAAGATGTTCAGGCACAGCAATTGATTGAAGAAGGTCCTGAGTTTGTTGAGGAAGATGAGGAGAGGAGGAAGGTTAAGAGTTACGATGAGAGGCAAGAGGAATTGAGGAAAGCTGTAACTGATGCTTTCGAAGAGGAGAGTGATGAAGATGGTGAAGATTTATTGAGAGTTGCGGAGAAGGAAGGAGATGATGATGTGGAGGAGGAGCTAGCTAAGAAAATTGATGAGTATTTCGGTGAAGAACGTGAAGTGTTTGAGAATCAGTTTTTGAAAGATTACTTGGTGAAACAGTTGTGGAAGGAGAAAGATGAGAAGATTGTAATAGATGAAGAAGATTTGAAGGAGTTGGATGAAGATGAGGAAGCTGTTGAGAAGCAAGAGGATTATGAGACTACCTATAGACATGAAGAGAATGCTGGGGAGATTGTTATGGGTCAGTCTAGGGTTGTGGAAGGGTCGGTGAGGAAGAAGGATAATGCGAGGAAGGCGCAGAGGAAGAGTAAAGAGGAGAGGATGAAGATGACTGAGATTGGGAGGCAAGAGGAGTTGAAGCGGTTGAAGAATGTTAAGAAGAAGGAGATGAAGGAGAGGATGAAGAAAGTGCTTTCTATTGCTGGTTTTAAGGATGGTGAAGAATGTCCTTTGGATGCGAAAGACTTGGATGATGAGTTTGATCCTGAGGAGTATGATATGATGATGAAAGCTGCGTTTGATGATGATTACTATGGTGCGGAGGATTCAGATTTGAATAGTGATGAGGATGATGGTGAGAAACCAGACTTTGACAAGGAGGATGAATTGCTTGGACTTCCCAAAGATTGGGGTGTGATTCAAGGTGGGGATGGTTTTATATCTGCTAGAGAAAAGGTTTTGAAGCATATGGAGAATGGTGCTGGTGATGAAGAAGAAGAAGAAGAAGAAGAAGAAGTAGAAGAAGAAGAAGAAGTCGATGAGGAGAAGGAAGTGGAGGGTAAGAGGAAGAGAAAGCGGAAAACATCTCTTGTACAAAGAGCCAAGGAAGCTATGTTGGAGGAGTACTACAAGCTAGACTATGAGGATACAATTGGAGATTTGAAAACAAGGTTTAAGTATGCGAAAGTACAACCAAACAAATTCGCCCTGGATACAGGAGAGATACTCTTCTTAGATGACACAGAGCTGAACCAGTACGTACCATTGAAGAAGATGGCTCCTTATGTGGAAAAGGATTGGGAGGTGAATAGACACAAGGTCAAGGAGCAGAAACTTAAGATCCAGGAGTTGTTGCAGGGTGAACGCCATGAAAAGAAAAGCAAGAAGAGGAAGAAGAACGATGTTGTTGAGGAAACGAAACCAACACAGAAAGCAGATGAGGAAGGCGAAGCTGAGACGAAGCTATCGAAAAAGGCAAAGAGAAGAAAGCGTCGAGCAGAGAAGAAGCTTCCTCCTAATAGAATGGCTGCTTATGGAAAGGCGTAATGAAGATGGAGTTAGAGAATCAGATACAGCCATTTCTTTTCGTTTTTTAAGCTTTGAACTTTTTATTTATCAATTTTGAGTTTTCATATCTATCAATGAGATCACCAAAAGTGGTTATCATATTTATCAATTATAAACAGATTCGTTTTGTTTCGTTGTTCTTCAGTGTTTTGAATTAGTATCTGTTGAGAATGTTTGATTCCCATTCTCATCTTACTCGAGTTGGATAATGCTTAGGCAGTGAAGCATAGGCTTCACTACAGGAAACGAGGGTATTCGTAGCGTCTGAAAACCGCTATCTAATGATACTACAGCGTTGTAGAAAGCGCTATGTCTGCGCCCGTTATAGTAGATCCGATACTTTACGTAGCGTTTTTAAAAAATGCTATTGAGATATTCAATAATATAGCAGTTTTTCGTATGCAATCTTTAAATATACAATAGCAAATATTGTTTGCTATGAATATATTTAATTATAGTATTTTTTTTAATTTTACAATAGCAGTTTTGTTATACGTAGACAATTTTGTGTATTTATACAGGGTTGTATTTATACAGTATTTATACAAGTTATATACATCATTAATTTTAAATTTTGAATTTCGATGTTTAAAATATTGAATTTTAAAAGCTCTAGTTTTTCTGAAAAGGTTTTTATTTAAAATGCATAAGAAATAAAAATACACGGATGCCTAATTGGCCTAGTTTTTGAAATGAAGCCCAACACATATGGCAGAACTAATCTGATTCTTAAAGAGACAAAGGATGGATCGAAGCCCATTAGGGAGATGAGGAGATCGGAGGAAAGTCACGCCAACTCAAATTGTTGCCAGCAATTTACGAAGCTTCTCGACTCATGAATATGCAATCGATGTGATATCTGATTAAACTATCAGAGATTTCTGTGAGGCGTCGTTGAGAACAACAATATTTGTACATCATTATTCATAATTTATGAAGCCAAAGAACTTGTTCACGAGGGATGATGAATCCTAACTTTTAGAGACAAAAACTGATCTCTTTAGCTTCTTGGCCGGTTGAATACACTAGAAGGGTGCTGCATTGGTTTAAACAAGAGAAAAGTCATTGCTTCATCAGAACAAACAGATTCAACTTGTAAGAAACGAAAACATAAGAAGAACAAATGAAACCTCACATCTGTGTAGATATTAGATCCCGCATTGTTGATGTTCTGGGTTCGATTAAAACCTTCAAACACCAAATTCAAATTAACACCTCACGTCATTTACTTAAAGAACCAATTCTACTTAAATCTAGACATTTAGACGGACACAAGTTTGTTAAGTAAAGAGGGAATTAGTAAACACACCATCAGATTTATAGAAACAAGAAGGTGAAAAGTCTCGCATGTAGCTCGAAGGATGCTTCCAATGAAGCTATGTTTTCTCCAGTCAACGTTGGCCATGGCGGATCCGTCTCTTCTGTTTCGTTGGAGAAATCTGAGATCAAGAAGGTGCCTGCGGTGTGGGTTGGTCGAAGGTTTGGTAGAGGTTTTTCGATTGAAGAAGAAGAAGATGAAAGAGATACGACTAAAGAGGAGATGAGTGGAAAGAAAAGATAAGAAAAAGGGTTTCATGTGTGTCCGTTAGATTTATTTCAATCAACGGTTCATATTAGAAACATTGTGAGAATACGCCACGTCATCTATCCGAGTGATCTTTTCCTATTGGCTCTCCTCTTCTTTATTTATTTTTATACCATTTTAAACAGAATAAAAATAGCTAAATATTATTATTAAATGGAAAATATTTTATAGTAATGAGAATAAATTAAAAATTAAGATTTGAATTTAGTTAGAGTTAGTTTTAAGTTCTAAAAATAAATCCATAAAACAAAAATAGTAGTATAATAAATATATATCATAAGATATGTTTTAAGATTGAACCTAAAGGGTTTAGGGTATAGGTATAGGGTTTAGGGTTTCGATTTAGGGTTTAGGGTTCAATTTTGAAAAATATTTTTACTATTTATCAATTAACAAAATAAAATAAAAAATATTAGAAACTTTATCATATTTGATTATTTGTTTTGCAATTTATTTTGTTAATTGATAATTGAAATCCCAAAGGGTTTAGGGTATAGGGTTTAGGGTAAAGATTTAGGGTATAGGGTTCAATTTTGAAAATTTTGGATATATGATTTAGTGTATAGGTTTCAATATTGAAACATAGTTTTTACTATATATCATTTAACGAAATAAAATACAAAAATTATTAAAAACTTATCATATATATATGATTATGTATATTTAACAAATGAATATTTGAACGTTTGAGAATATTATTATTTGATTACGTATAATTAACAAATGAATGTATGAGAATATGAACAAATTAAAATGTATTGAGAATTTTTAATTTATGTATATATGTAATTTAGCAACGTCATATATTTGTCGTTTTAATTCTGTATTATTTAGCAATGACATATTGGAAGAGAAAATAACTTATGGAATTATAACCATAAAAACACATTATCGAGACATATCCGAATGGAGTAGTCATTGAATCAAGTATATAGAGGTTAACATTCCAAAGTAAACAAAATATACTAACATAGTAGTCATTGAATCAAGTATCAAATTCTAAAGCTAAAATTCTAAAAGTAAAGCCACATATTCTTCCTTTCAGTTTGAACCTGCACATAGATAACAGTAGAAAAACAACAGAGTCAATAAAATTATTGAACATAAAGAGTTTATGTAGAGGAGGCGAAACATATAAACTGAGCACAGAAGGACATACTAAACAGTTTCCAATTGCCATTTATCACATGAAAGCCTGAGATTCAGAGCTGAAGAGAAGGAAAAAAACTCACCTAATAAAAGCAGTGTCCTTAGAGAGATGACAAGCACACAACATGAGACATTCCTTAAAAATTGTTTATGATCCCACAGTCTATACTCCACTTCTTGTCCTACGGTTAACAATCACACAAACTCAAACTAATCCAGAACTAGAATGCTCAATTGCAAGACTCAGAAGGCATCAGCTTTCACAAATTCTCAATTGGGACTGACTATACGAAACAAGTTATAGATTTGAATAAGCTCTCCGGTTGAATTAGAGAAGACACATTCGCCACTATACTCTAAACATGTCCTTGCTTTGGTGAGCAGAGACGATTCATACGCAAATGACTTCTGATCTTAGCTGAAACATAGATTTACATATACACAGGTGTTAGATATCACAACATAAGCCCTGAGAACAATAAATTCGCGAACAAATGGATAGTGAATCATCAGAATTTGCATACCTAATCCAGATTGCAAAATCAAAAAAATGTCATCAGATGCTGAGGTAAGCTGTTGGTTCTGGGCACGTTTGACGAAGATGGTGAAATATCTCACCTGCAACAAAACACAGTTTCAATCACTAAAGCTAAATATCCGAAGGGAATAATCATTGAATCAAGTATAAAGAGACGAGTAGAGTTAAACTCTATACAAACAAAGCAATTCAATTTCAATTCCACAACAACACTAGTCCAATGTAATCCCTTGAATATATTCTTCTCGTGAACTAGAACAGCAGAGAATCCATCAACATGATGCTTACAAAGATCTGAACAAATCCAAACACAAATCGAATTCAATAACAGAACAACACCAAAACAAATTTGTTAAGTAAGATTCGCGGGGTTTTGTGTGTGTACCTTTGAGTTTTTATGAATAGGAATACAAGCTTGTGAGGTCATGACGGATGAATTAGAAATCGAGCTGGAGATGGCAGTGATCTGAAAGAGGAAGAGGAAGATGGTAATTGAATGGAGAGTTTTATATGCAAAACGCACTTGAGATTTAAAATTATCAACACAAATCTTGAATCTGTGACAATTCTTCATCAAATGCAAAATTTATACTTTTGCTTACTAGCCAGTCATGACCTGCCCAACCCCTAATGAACAAGCTTAAAGTTTGCAAACAATAGCTAAAGCATCAGACCACAATCCAATTCCAATTCTATAGTTAATTTCACATGAATCTTGAGAATAGAAAACAAAGAACAATCAAAAGCTAGACCTCGTGGCTGGATTGATGCGAAGAAGAAGAAGACGGCTTCGAAGAAGAACCATCGCCTTGTCACCGGAATCAACAACGGGAATCAAAAGCTCTCGATCGCTTTCACGAGATCACGATTGGCCGTCACAATCGCCGGCTTCTCGTCTCCCAGCGCCGACAAAATTCAAGTCGGAGAAGGGAGAAGAGAGCAGATAGAAGAGAGAAGCGAGAAGAGATGGCCAAAGTGTTCTACGAGTTTAATATAATCCATCTATTTCTCCTCTAATTATTTTTTCTCTACTTTTTATTTTATTTTATTTTCTTACTATTTAGAAAATTTTTGGAGGTAATGAAATTTTCACTTTCCCGGTTATTCCTACCATAACGTTTTTTTGTCATCTATGCTATAATAAAACCAAAAATTAGGCGCGACTGCGAATTATTTTCGCGGTTTTCCTACCATAGCGTTTGCTTTTTCGCAAACGCTATAATTGTTTTCTCAAAACTCAACTATAGCAGAATCATCAAAAATGCTATACTGTACTGCTATTAATACCTTCATTTCCTGTAGTGCTTGGATACAATCTCTGTGTTTTGGAAGTAAAGGTAGAGACTCTTGTCGTTCAGAAGGTTTCAAACCAAACAAAGATGAAACAAAACAAACTACTTTCATTACTTAATATTGTTCACAACATCAAAGCAAAGAGTTTGCAGAAGAAACTTAAGTCCTAAAGAGATAGTTAGATAAACAGCAAGACCAGAGTACCAGACCATACTCCATACTGTTTCTACACTAACCCGACTACCCGACATACACCAAACTGCTATCAGCATTTCTGATATTACGATCTCGTCTCCACTGAGAACAAGACTATTACAAAACCTAGAAACCAACCGAAAAACCTCCATTGCATCCATAGCCAACCTAGGTAGTACCCTTCTATACATACTGTTCCGATCCATTTGCCTTTCAGATAACCAAAACTGTCAGGAAATGTGTATGACTCAGAGCCCTAACAGTTCTAACTTTCATAGGATCATTCTTCTTCAAGTGGTTTGAGGTTAACCCCCACACCCTCAGATTGCACCAGCGTAACATTACCTTCCTCAACGCCATCAAGACCTCCCTGCTCACCATCCCCATTAGGCAAGTCCTGAACCGCATCAGCGCTTCCTTTAAGCCGCTTCTCCACAATATCATCCTCCTGATCCCCTGCATCAAACTTCCTTTTCGACCCCTCAGACGAAGTTCCAACCTTCACCTGCGTAACATTACCATCCTCAACGCCATCAAGACCTTTTTGCTCACCAACCCCATCAGGCAAGCCCTGAACCGCATCAGCAGAAGCATCCGCCGGATCAATCTGCTCCAATAAACCCAAAGACCTTCCACCTTCACCATTTTTCTCACCAGAACCATCAACGCTAGAATCAAGAGGCGGTGGTGAAAGAGCACGATCATAAGGATCAGGAACATCAACCCAAACACGCGAACAAGACCTAGCGAGATGATTCAAACCACTACAATTACGATAAAACTTGAAACTAACTTTACTCCAAGCAATATCCTCATACCTCAAACTCACAATCCTAACCTCACCAGAACCAAACCTAACCACTTTCTTAAAACACAAACGAGTATCCACAGAAACGTTCACACGAACACGCACAAAACGAAAATCAAATTTCACATCATCCAATTCAACCTCCATTATTTCCCCCATAGACGAAGCAATCTCACGAACCGTTCCTTCACAAAGATACCGAATCGGAATTCCACGAATCCTCAACCACATAGGAACCGAATTCAAGAAATCAGGACCTTGTTCGTCTTCCCACTTCTGTAACACAACGAGCCATCCGTTAAACGAATAAGGACCAGACCAAAGAACCATTTCCAAATCGCGTTCTTCGTCGAACACGAATTGAAACTTCCCTCCGCCGGCCGTGACATTTAGATCCGTCGATATTCCATTCATGAGGGAGTCTACTGATCACTGAGTAGAGATCTTGTCTTCTAGGGCTTAGAACTCGACCGACCAAGCTTTTGCGATTGTTCTCAGTGGCTTCAGCGTAAGCGGTTTCTGGAACTGCGATTGGTTGATCTGCTAAACCTAAAGCGAGATATCTTGGTGCTCTTCGTTGATTGTTCAAAGCCATTGTCGTCGCCGGTGAAACGGTTTATCAGAAACGGCGTTGTCGCACCGATCGTTTCAAAGGGAAAAGCCCTAGAAGAAATGAGTGATGATTGATGAGTATTTATTTATATTTACAGTTTTTACTTTTTTACCTTGCAAACATGTTGCGGTAAAACCGATTCTTTAACCGCCGACCAAAAAAAAACCGACTCTTTAACCATTCACGATATAATGCTACAATGTATTCATTTTGGGAGAATATATTTTTAAGGATATTGGAATTAGATTGTGTTGATTTTATAAATTGTAGTTTGTTTGGCATGTAATTCAGAAATGAATACTAAACATTTTTGAAAAATCGTCCAAGTTATAAATTGGATAGTTTGATCTTAGGTTAGGCCAACGGTGAACTTCCTTTCCGCGGAAAGATATGAAAATGATAGGTTTTGAATTTCGACTGTTTGTACATTGTGCTATTAGTTAGTGGTAACTATTAGATTTAGATGTGGATTAACTTCGTTTAAAGAATATATAATTGAAGTCTTTAATTGTTATGATCACAACATCATATTGAGTCATTTGTCGAATTGTGAACGAAACTTAATCAAAATCTTATGGAAAAACCAATCACAATCAGAACAATGCCTTTTGTTCGTAGCTAGTGTAGAAGCCAAGAAAACACATAGTTGCCGAAAAATATCTAAAGCTTAGAGCGCGAAAACAGAGGAAAGAGATTTATAGCGAATTACGCGTATGCGATCTTGTAGCCTCTCAACCAAATCAAGTTTTTCGATAAGAGCTCTATTTCAAGCCAGTGTTAGACATACTATTCTGCAGACCTTTTTTTTTTTTTAAGAATGTAAAATTATATTCCAACAAAAAACTGTTTTACAACAAATGCTTCATTATGAGCTGAATGTTCTGAATAGATAAATTGTTACATTAATGCCAAAAGAATTATGGATGTGTGAGGAACCAGGACTGGAGTCCCCCTAAGTATCCATTCTTAAGAATAGTAGCTTACAGTTTTTGTATCTTGTGGAGCCAGTGCACAGAGAGAGAGAAATGGATTGGGGGATGTTATCACTTACTACCTAACCCACCAAAGCAATACTGATTTAGTACTAAAGTCTCAAGAACTTCAAAACATTTTGAATTCTCACATAACCGGAAACAAATGAAGGAGGTTTCAGAATTCAATTGAGAAATCTTATACAGATTTCAAACCACGTGCCTAATGTAGTCTTCCCTGAGGCATAACAATAAACCCTCACAGTGATATTACTCGAGTGATGACGAGGTCATCTTGATCGTTTAAGCTAATAAGATTAAGAGAAATTAATATATTAGTCATTAGAAAAAAATTAAGATAGTAGTTTTATAGACATTAGTGAAATTAGCACTACAAAAGATAAAGAGGAAAAATAAAAACTAATGATACCTAATATATACTACTATTATTTAGTTTTCATTTCTTTTCTATAACAATAATATATGGTGTTCCATATATTCACATAACCAATTATAAGAAAAAAATTTATATAGAGTTTCGAAATTTGTTTCCTTTATTTTGCTACTTTGTAGATTTTTATTTTATATTTTTCATATATGGTTCTGCCAAGTGTTATCTTTAATCATTTCCGACATATTATTTAGCAAAATAGTTAATACGTTTCCAGATTCGTTTTTTCTTAATAAAAGTTTAACAATATGATTTATTACTAATTAACTAATTCTTTAATGTCTAATATGCTGAGAAAACTATGATTAATTAAAACATATGAAAAATCTAGTTTATTATTGTATAATATATATACACACATTATCGTCATTAAACACAAAAAATAAAAACTGCACATAGCATTATTTGTAAGAAAAATAAAAAAAAAAACATGAAGAAGACTCCAAAAATAATCCTTCTTCTGCTTATGCTTATTATCACCTCCTTAACAATCATGATCACGTTAATGCTTCAACCACAAACTATGTTACTTGGAGAGGAATACGAAGTGCGTGTGATCAACAACTTCAGAGACAACTCGTCTCTCCCTCTAGTGATCTGGTGCACTTCGCCCCAAGGAGATCTCGGTGGTCGTGCACTTCAAGAAGGAGACGACTTCGAATGGACGGTCAAGATCGATTTGTGGTCGGCAGAGTACACATGTACAATGAAGTGGAATACAAAGAGGAAGAGGTTCGAGGCGTTTAAGGTTTCTAGAGACAGCAATAGATGTGGATCTACTAAGAAGTGTTCTTGGTCCGTTAGAGAAGATGGTTTTTATTTTAGTAATGATGAGGTTTATTGGACCAAGGATTTTTCTTGGTTATAAGCTTTTTTTCTTGTACTCTTGCTTAATGCTTATGTACAAAGATATAGGCCGCTTTAGATTTTTCTCAAAGCGAACAACCAAAATCGATCATATACGTTTGAGGATAGTTGCGAGAGAACCAATCAAATTCTTAATCACTTCAGATGTAATTTAGACTTTAGACGTTACGTACTCGTTAGCGCAAACTAGACATCAAATACTAATACAAACTTTGATTTTACTATGTTATCACATATTTTATCCACTTCTTTGAATTTTCAAGGAATATGTCACAAATCACGAAAGAAGTAAAATTTATTTAGATGAAATATTGAACGTACCTTTTCTAGTTTTGTTATAGATTTAATGGCATCTAAATATCTAACATTAAGTAAGTGGTCTAGTCTCATCTAAATTATCATGATCGTTATGGTTAGCTCAAGCGAGATAGGATTTGATTTGGCGTACGTGCATTAGGATTTAATTATCGTGTTCTTTGTCCATTATACTCTTTTTTCTTTTTTCATAAAAACCAATATATTGAACATAGAAAGAATTATTGAAAAGGGAAAATATATGAAAAGATCATTAATCTAGCCAAAAATATTGTAACTAAAAGCAAGTAATAAGAAATCTCCTTGAAAATGATTGTACGTTTTTGTTGGTGTCGGATCTCGTACCAGTAGCCCGGGACCAACCAAAGATTGTCACGTAGTCAAGACAAAGTACTTTTGAAGGGAATCGTTTTCCTACGGCCAAAATCACTACAAGAAATACAGCGTTTTCCTACGGCCAAAATCGTAAGAAATTGGTAGGAAACGTCTGTTTCCTACCAATTTCCTACGAAAAATATTTGAAGGGAATCGCCCGTCGGAAATAGAATTTGATAGGAAATTCGTGGGAAATTTCCTACGAAACCGGTTCGTAGGAAAGCGCGTAGGAAATTTCGTAGGAAAGCGGTAGGGCCTATTTCACCATTCTCCTTCCAAATTTTCGTAGGGAATTTAATTAACCCTACAACTTTCCTACGAAATATTTCTCACTAATTACCTACCAAATTTTCGTAGGAAATTTAATTAGTCCTACAACTTTCCTACGAAATATTTCTCACTAATTACCTACCAAAATTATCTTACCAGTTTCCTACGATACACCTCCTACTAAATTCCTACCATTATCCTTCGAAATTTTAGAGACAATTTTAATAAAATTATTTATATTTATTTGTTACAAATTTTGGTTTTATGAATAAATAAAATTTAAAATTCAAAAGAAACTTAAAATTAAATATAAAATTAAACTCCATACAAATTAAAATTCATTGTACAATCCATTCTAATATAAAGATTTAAAACCTAATCATATACTCTTGAGAACACAAGAACACCATAAACAAAATGGAAACTATAACATAATTTAACTTACTTCCAGCATGACAGTGTTAATCTCCTCTTCCGTGTAAGAGTTAGACTGAACCGAGTCATCTCCTTCAGCTTGGCGTTGCGAATTTGTCAGCTCTAACTTCCTCTTAACTCCATCAAGAATCTGTTTTGTCTTCAAATCGCTAATTGTGGGCGTCTTCTTCCATGAAGTGAATCATATTAGGCTCCTTAGTCTAATATCAAGTGCCACAAAAGCAAGAACTCAAGAAGTCAGAAACTAGTAAAGTGATTAAAAATTGAAAAAAAAAACAGACTTGAATTGGACAAGAACTGAAGAAGTCTGAAACTAGTAAAGTGATTAAAACATGTTGAAAAAAAACAGACTTGAATTAGACAAGAATTAAGGAATAAAATTTGAAGCTGAACATAGCAAATCCTTAAGAAACAAGACCATACTCTTAGAAATGAGTCAAGAACAGAACCAAACGCATAAGAAATTATGAACAAGACCAGACCCGTAGACATCAAGAATATAACCAAACCTTAAGAAATTAGGAACAAATCCTGACATTAACAAACCTTAAACAAAGTTAACATTTGGACTCTCGAATAGTACATGATAGAGAAATCTAAAATTATGTGTTTAACAGAAACAGAGCCAAGAGAGAAACTCTTCTACTAAGGTTACAAGAACACAACACACACAAACAAGCCATTCAAGGATAATCTCATCAAAATAATCTTATATCATTCAAGAACCTACTAGAGAGGAAATATATCATTCAAGAACCCACTACAATCTTGAAGACAAGGACGACAGAGATATACCGTGAATTGAGGATATAGCGGTGAGGTAAAACGAAAGTTTGATGGGTTTGACATGACTTTGGCGACATTGTTTGTCTCGGGTCTGCCATGAAAATTCTTAAAGTCTGAATGGAGATTGAGCCTCTGCGGATGATAGATGTGGAGGAGAGACAAGTTCAACTCTCTCAAGAACAAGAAAATCCTCCAAATTGTCTTTCGTCTTCAACAAATCCTGTTTCAATAACCAGCAAAAACACACAAACCAACTTCAGATTCGAACAAATAAACAACGAAAATCTTAAAAATGAACAAACTTTATCAAATCCAGTTACCTTTTATGCCTTACAAGCATGGAAGTCGATGAAATTGTCAGAAATGAATCAGTGAGAGAGCTAGTAGATGAACCAGAGAAATAGAGGATAAATCGATTAGGAAGAAGAAGAACACGAAGAAGGAAGAAAGGTAGAAGAGAGAGAATAGTCGGATTACATGCAATAACGATTCCGCCAACTTCAAAGATTATGTTGCTCTCACACTCCTCAGATCCTCGAGCCTCCGATTGCGTGAAAAAATAAAACTGAGAAGATAAAAGATTCAAAGAGAAG